TAAGGAGAAGAGTGGTGATGCTCAACCTTGTACCTATAAAGCAACTGACCAACATCCGCTTGAAAATGAGAACCATTATCGCAGGCGCGTGAGCTGTGAGTGGAGCCCACCATCGAAGTTTCGATTGAAGGTGCCAGCACTCAAAATAATGCTGCTGCTCTTTGCTTCGTTCGTGTAAACCTTCTATTGTACTCTACCTTCACGACTGTTCCGGTCGCATCATTTTCTCATCTTTTCGTTAGTTTTATTAATTTTTGAATATTAAATTTGTAAATTTCACAAGGTAAATATATCAAGTAACTAAAATTTACCTTTTCAAAAAAAAAAAATTCAATTAAAACCTCTTGAAATTTAATGTTAAACTAATCCATAATAAATAATATTTGTGATTGAAAAATTATACTCCCTTCCTTTCAAAATGTTTGTCCTGACTTTTGTATAAAGTTTAAAAAAACACATTAATTATAGTGCCAAGTCATATAAAATATCCATACTTTTTTAAAATTATCCTCCTTAAAAAAATATATATTCCTATAACTTAAAACTATTTATAATGAGAGATATAAATGCAAAGTAAATATCTCTTAAATCAAGTGGACAAACATTTTGGAATATCTAAAAATAATAACGTTGACAAGTACTATGGGACGGAGTAAATAGTAAGTTAGCATCTCATTTTATATATTCATGATAATCATCTTTTATTCTAATTTTATGTTTTAAAAAATTATAATCCTATTCTTATATTTTTTTAAAAAAAATAATATTTTATAAAGTGATATGATTACTGTGCAACACAGTAATAATTTATATACCTATACTGTATATAAACGTAGAAATAGAGTAAGGAATAATGAGATTTTCGATATCGTCTTTTAATGAAATTTAAAATATCCTAAAATAGCTTTGGTTATAACTAATTTGAAATTTACATTTAATACCAATAAATGTTTGGATAAGTGGTTCGACACTCTTTTCTCCAAAATGAGATCCAGAGTTCGATCCTCGTGGATAGAGCAAATACTCGCTTTGAGTACTTTACCCCTTCTTGGCCAACTTGTGCAAACAAGATTTAGTTCCACCCTATTGAACCTAGGGGTACTTGTGATTAAAAGAAAAATACATTTTATTATTTGATTGAATATAATTTTTATTTTTTTTTTTTTTTATTGGAAGGACCAATTAATTATGACGGAAGTAAACCTTAGGGACGTTATTATAAAATAAATTTGTATAAATTGTCGGGGACTACTAATAATTATGGCAAAATCTCAGGGACGAAAATAATTATTTTTTTCAAAGGATAAAAATTTCGGTCTTTTACCTCTCAAAATAACGGTTTTTGACGGAAGGACCAATTAATATTTGACGGTAGCAAACCTCAGGTCGGTATTATAAATATATGTATAAAATTTCGGGACTACTTTATGTCTACGCCCCGACTTTAATCACTAGAGGAATTGTCCGCTTTGGATCAGCCAAATCCCCCATACAAGATGGCAAAACCCCGCACGATTTTGTCCCTTCCACGGGATTGGCAAGACCCGCACGATTTTGTCCCTCAGGTAAAATGAAAAACTTCCCAGGAGGTCACCCATCCTAAAATTTCCGTTAAGCGAGCACGCTTAACCCTAGAATTCTTCCAACTCTCCAGCCATTTCATCAAAAAGCACCTCTAATGATTAGTTTCCCCATTTTCGATATATGATTCGATTCATTCCTGTGTCCCGCATTCCACTATCTTAGCTAGCTTGCCATCCTAGAAGCTAGCCAGGAGCTTCACTCTACCCACCCTTTTAGGATTGCTTTGCCGGGTCAAGATGTCACAGATCTTCTGGGAAGTTTCTCATTTCACCTGCGGGACAAAACCGTGCGGGTCTTGCCAATCTTGTATAGGGGATTTGACTTGATCCAAAGCGGACAATTCCTCTGATGATTAGAGTCGGGGCGTGACAACTTCAATAATTATGACAAATATCAGGGACGAAATAATAATTTTCCCTTAACGTGTTGCAAAACATGGAAAGGACCCACACTAGGCTTTTTCTTGACTGATTTTCATATTTTCATATATTATATATATATATATATATATATATATGATATATAATATATTATATAAGTATACTATATATATATTAATATATATAGTTATGGTGGATTAGGAATTAAATGGAATTTCATATTTCCATATTCATGTAATTTATATATATATGTGGATTAGGAATTAAATTGAATTTCATATTTCCATATCATGTAATTTTTTAAAATTGCTTATTTATTAGTAAATGGTAGAGAGTTTAATCACAATTCACAAGTGACTAATTAATTAATTAAAATCCTTTTTTTTTAAATTATTAAGATACATAGTTTTTACTAAAATAAATTTATTTTACTGTAGAAAATTGATAAAAAAAGAACACATCTCATTCAAAGAAAACTAAGAATCAGGTGTCCAGCTGAGGTCTTAATTACTGAAGTGATTTTGAAATGATTGACGATCGTTACCTTTAACAAATAAGAAAATGGCAATTTGTGAAAATAAATCATTGAAATTAAAAACATAGTTTGAATTCTTGGTTGGGCCAAAAGCTTAAAGATATGATTGGTGGGGTGGCATCACAATACGTCACCGTCAAGGCCACATTATATTTACACTAATCATAATATTTCCGTTGAACTTCTTAATATCATTTGTCATTAAAAATTAATTTCTGGATATGATTGGTCGGTATATCTTTAAAAGCTAATGCGGAAAAAATAAATGGACTTTTCGAAGACTACTTAAGTTAAGGTAATTTAGTGTAAATCAAAAGGCCTTGATGACTTGTTAATAAAAGAATAAATTTATAAACATTATTATAATTTGACAATTCACTTTTTTTTTTTAAATAAAATTACTTATTAAGCAATGTAAATTTTTTTTATAATAATTTAAATTTATTTAATTTAGTTTTTTATGTATAATATAATATCATAGATTATTTATATTACTAAGATATGAAAAATCAATATTAGCTTCCATATTTTGTCAATTGAAATTATAAATTTTTATTGTTTTGTCAATTGAAATTATAAATTTTTATTGTTGCATTAGTTTAAAAAACACTAAAAATATGTAATTTTTTTACCAATAAATTTTTCATTATGAAGAACAATTCTGTCACTAATGCAATATTCATATTGAAAAATTTATTTTCTTATCATTGTTCCATTGGGTGTAGACGAATTAAGGAAATAAAACACAAATCAACTAAAAATGAATTAATTTTCAAAATAAGTTATTTAAAAGTGTAAAAGCAATACAATAAATAAATATATTCAAAATAAAAATATGTTAAATAAACAATATAATATAAAATGAGAATAAAATATCACGTAAGAAAATGTTTTCAAAATGATTATGTTTTGAATTATATGATTCAGATTTGCTCAATAACCCATTCAATTTTCTTTTTTTTTATATATATAAATTTGATATTGTAATTCTTTTTCTAAAAAAAGAAGTCCTCTAAAATTTTAGGGATGAATTCAGATTTCTCAAATCAAGGCAAATTATGTTGAAGGTAACTTTTATGAAATTTTTCATTTTTATGCGATGAAGCATTCATAAATTTAACATGTTAAAACTTAATAATTAGGAAACCTCTTAGGAATGTTTAAATTATTTTTTTCAATTTTATAATTTAGCATATATAATTATAAATAAATGGAATTGTTGAAATATTCAATGCAATAACAAACATTTTTTGTTTGTCAAACAATGGTCATTCCTTCTAACATAAGACGACACAATTAATATTAAATTTCACAACACAAGAGATCAGCAAATAGATAATAAACAAAATAAAATTAAAATAAACAAAACAAAATAAACAAATGGATAATAAAAATGTATTGTTTAACCAATAAAATTAAAATTTTTTTAAAAATATTATATTCTTACCATATTTAATATATACTTTATATATTATATAATATAATATCTTATTTTATCCAATAAGATTTAAATTTATCAATAAAGATTTTAAAATTTACATTGAAAATTAATAGAATAATTAAAAATCAAATTATCTTTATTTTTAACCAATTAAAAATTAAATCCTTAATTCGGCACATTTTCGACAATCTCAATTTGCCCCATTCATTTTCCCCGCACCACATACTTTATGTAACTTGCGGTTTTCATGGCCCCAATTTGGATAAGACCAGGCCCAATGGGCTGGCTATGCAATATTTTACACAGTTAATAAAGGAAAACAAAACTGCCTTCCCTCCGTTTACTTTTACACTTGGATTTAGCCCAGACTAATTGCTGCCTTCCAAAAAATGCTTTTGTTTAAATGGAGATATAACCAAAACTTGGCATGGACAAAAAAACTATTACAAATCCACTAGTGATTTTTCTAGCAAAAAGACCTTTACATTTGGCTCCTTTATACTAACAAAGCTGAAGATAGAATTCAAAATGTCTAGATTTTTCCTTAATGCTGCTCTACAATATAAGCAAAGCTTTTAAAGTGATAGAAGTTCGGCAAGCTTTAATTTACAGGAGGAAAAGTGTAAAAAATCAGGCTGCAAAGACCAGATGTCAACAAGAAAACTGATAGAAACAACACAAGCTTTTTGGAAAGGGCCACGGCTGAACATAAGCAGGATGTCATTTTATCCAATAAGATTTAAATTTACATTGAAAATTAATATGAATAATTAAAATCAAATTATCTTTATTTTTAACCAATAAAATTAAAATCCTAATTCGGCACATTTTTCGACAATCTCAATTTGCCCCATTCATTTCCCCGCACACATACTTTATGTAACTGCGGTTTTCATGGCCCAATTTGGATAAGACCAGGCCCAATTTAGGCTGGGCTATGCAATATTTACACAAGTTAAAAGGAAAACAAAACTGCTTCCCTCCGTTTACTTTACACTTGGATTTAGCCCAGACTATTGCTGCCTCCAAAAATGCTTTTGTTAAAGGAGATATACCAAACTTGGCATGGACAAAAAAACTATTACAAATCCACTAGTGAATTTTTTCTAGCAAAAAGACTTTACATTTGGCTCCTTTATACTAACAAAGCTGAAGAATTCAAATGTCTAGATTTTCCTAATGCTGCTCTACAATATAAGCAAGCTAAAGTGAAAGAAGTTCGGCAAGCTTTAATTACAGGAGGAAAAGTGTAAAAATCAGGCTGAAGACCAGATGTCAACAAGAACTGATAGAAACAACACAAAGCTTCTTGGAAAAGGCCACGGCGAACATAAGCAGATGTCATAGAATTCCAGGTGTAGACATTTTTCTTTGGAATCTGATCGAAGGTGCGATAGGATAATGACAATTCACCAAGATAGGCTTAAAGATTAACGAGTTTTGCAGAGATGAATATATTTTCAACTCTCCCTGACACCACGAGAAGAGTGTGAAGACACTTAACATGGGGAATTTTGTTGCATGATCGGAAAAGAAGATCCAAATCAACATATTTCTTCTCACTTTCAAAACCAGCAGATGTAACTTCCCAAGAATCTTTGGCTGAAGAAAAGCTTGAAGTGATGGAAAAAGTTTGAGAACATTTTGTCCTTTGCAGGTCTGCACCAATCTAAGTAGCAAAATAATTATTGAAGGTCACACGATCAGATACCCATTGAACAACAAAAGATAGGAAAAGGATTCATGGCACTAATACAGTAAAAATATTACAAGCAAAAGGTGCTTGCTAAAAGCATTTATTAAACTGATGAAAAAATTGATATTCTTGGTCAAGTCTATAAATTTGTGACCCATTTGCAAGATAATATTGGCATATATATGAACTTAGGAGAAGGGGGTACTTAGCAAGTAAATGTTTGAAGAAATCAGGGTATCAAAGAGCAATGTTCAGTATAGCAAAAAAGAACTTGATTCTCTAAGGCTCAGACACGTCAAGATGAGTATAGCCAAGAAAGAGGAAAAAGAAAATGAAGAGAGCACATACCTGCCAATTGGGTGAAGGAGTGAAAGCATGTACCTACACACTGGGTACAACAATGCTGGTTAATCGATATTGTATGTTGCCACTGTGAATTTCTTGATGTCAATTATGACAGGTTTATGAAAAATAGTGAACTAAAGAACAGAAAAACTGACATTGCCAGAGTAGTAAACAATTTCACTTAACGATCTCAGATTTAACTTCCTGTTTTGAATATAATGAAGAGTTCAAAGTTTGATTATCTTATTATTATTAGTATCCATATTTTTCTCTTAAGTACTTGCATTATGTTGAATTTATAAGCTAAATGTCAAATGAGTCAAAAAAATGTAAGAACTCATCCATTTTTAGTCATGAAAGCTAATTTGCAGGAGATTCCCATATGCCATACCAGGTGATGAATCTACCTTGCAAACAAGATTGGTAGTAATATCACATTTAGTCTGATACTGATTATATCGTGTGGGATAGGTTAACTACAAAAATCATAAATCTATTAAGATTTTTAATCAACTCTAATTCATCATTGGCTGCCAATATACAACTCATGGGCAGGAATAGAGAATGTAACTCATATTTAATTTTAAAATTTTAAAACATTTCGTGCTTTCATGGTCTAACAAATTCCAAACAATACTAAAGGAAGTTATCACCTTCAACAAATTGAGCATAGAATTGTTCCTAATGTTGTAAAGATTTCACTTTTATTAAGCACTTCAATTGAAACCTTTAAGAAAATTTAAGAAAGGAATCTCTGTTCTAAAACATAATCTTCTTTCTATTGAAAAGCTATGCTCAACTGAACTAATCCCTCAAAACAACATAATCAACTCAAATTTCAAAGCAATAAGATATGGCATTAGTTCACATATATGTAATTAATTAATCAATCATGCAATCAGCTACGAAAAAAAAAAAAGCAAAAAGTATTCTTAATTCAATTGCCATTAACAAAGGATAATTGCGTATGCAGCTGCTTTCTGATAGTTGATTAAAGTTCAATAAACAGAATGTTCGCAAGGCAACATAATAAAATGAAGTAAAGGCAAATGATTAGTTAAAAAATGGAAAGTTAATGAAAAAATTAGTTCTTACCACTCGGCTTATTGTGTTGTTAAGATGCCTTGACTTGGAACTAAAAGGGTCTAACTTTTGTCTTTTGAAAATTGCAACTCACCGCACTGGCCTCCACAAATCCTAAACTTCTCAACATAATAGTAAACCTACAAGACCGAGAAGATTGAATCAGAAGTCGACGAGACAGAGGAAAGCAAAAGCAACTCGATATTTAAACTGAAATAAGAATTCGAAAGCAGGATCAAGTTTTGAACAAACTGAGAGAAATTAATCCTGATTACAGGGGAGCTTGAATGTACGGAAGCAGAGTGAAACATAAACCAATGGCGAGATAAACAGTCCTTAGTCTTGCAGCCTCGGTGATTGGAGAGGCAACAGCGGGAAACCGGCGGAGGCGGAAATTATGAGTAATAATATCGACGTTCCACAAATATTTATATATAAAAATACACTTCATAATTTTAAAAACTTATTAATTATAATTATTAGTATAAATTTTTTAGGGGTTATTAAACTATTCTAATAAATCAATATCTAAAATACTTAACCAATAAAAATTATAATGCATGTATTTTGTTTAATAAATTCCTTTTATATTAAAACTTTAGTTTTTTTAAAATGTAAAATTCTAAATTAAAAAGTATTTTAATAATCACATAAAAAGAAATAAATGAAAATGTTCTTTTCTTAATTATCTGTTCCGTATTTGTATCTTTGAATTTCTAAACCGGAATTCACTCAAAAATTATATAAAGTGCAAGAAAAGTATAAAAAATCCTAGCAATTAGTTCAAACAAATTAGTGTCTGGCCGGTAATATTGGCTGTTTTGGTTTTTAGCTTTGTAACGATTTAAATTAGAAGCGTTCGGTAAGAATAGATGTATGTTTAGTTGTTTAACTTAAAATGATAAAAAATAATATTAATTGTATAATTACCTAAATTCAAAAAAAAAATGACTATAATAATTAAAAATTTTAATTAAAAACTAAACGTTAGAAGTTAGAATATTTAAAATTTCATAAAAAGCTAGCTCAAAAACGTTACCGAACAGGGCATAAACTATCTCGATCTTCTGCTTTTTATTTCAGTTTATTGTAAATTATAGGCTATTCTTCTAAGAATAACAATATAAATTTTTTTTTATATATATACTCCTATTTAATAACGCATTATTATAAATAGTTTATCCATTTAATTATTTATTCAAAGTGAATTTTATATTATATTTGATCGAAGATTTATTTGGATTGATTTGTTTGTTTATTATATTTTATTGAACCTTAAAATCCAAATAAATATATCAAAGAGTTTATTTATCGTTCTTTTTGTTTTAAGTATTTGTTTGAGATGGAAGTATTCAATTTGTAAGAATAAACTTTCAACCTAGACCTATCCATAGCCCACTTACGTCGCTAATTTTACCGTCGATAACTTTACCGAGAAAACTTTTAATTCAACTGACAAGAGTACCTTATTTTAATAGTTTATAAATTAATTTTTCTCATGATAAATAATTCTCTGGTTTATTATAATTTTTTTTTCTTTTTTTAGTATGTTTTGAATATCGGTACATTAATAAAAAATGCATTTTTACGAAGAAAGTCACCTTGAAGGGGAGACTTTATAATTCCATTATTTTTTTATGATAAAATAATTTCAATCAATTAATTTTATTCCAAAAATATCTTTCAAATTTATGGATTATATTTTTTAACTAAATCATGGAGTGTAAAAATTCTATTAATTTCAATATCTACGGATATTACATTCCATGGATTAAAACATTCCCCTTCACATTAATATGAGATTCAAACATAAAATGTTGTTATTTATATTGAATGAGATAACAAATTAAACAACAAAAAGAAAATTCTCCATTTGAAAAAAATAAATTGTTTTTTTTTTCATTTTCTAATAATAAATTACTAAAACCTCTTAACAATATTAGCAATCAAGTCCCACTCAAAAAAAAAAAAAACAAACAATGAAGTCATTTCTTTTAACAAAATAATTTGATTTAAAACAAAAAATTAGCAACTTGAAAGTTAATATCACTAAACATCAATGAGTTTGGCTAATTAATAAATCCTTCGGTTTTTAACCATGTTTTATTTTGATTTGGAAGCACCACCACCGGCGCCGCCACCAGACTTGGAATCACCCTTATCACCACCAGGGGCACCACCGCCGGTAACTACTGTGCGAACCTTAAACCTTTCAAGTCTCAAAGGCAATTCATCTCCATCTACATTAACAGAACGTGTTCTTTTCGAGCCAACACTCGAGCTTCTTTTCAAAGTTGTGCTTTCTGACCTTTCAAAGGAAAACTTAAAACCAAATTTATTCGACATCTCCATAAACTCATCACGTGACTCTGGAAATATTTTCTTGAACACTTCCCTTTTTCGAATATATAGTTGTCTGAAAAACTCTAGCAATTTCAGTCTAAATAATCTGAAGGGAACTAATTCTTATTATAATAAAATGCCAATAATTCAATCCATGTGCTAGGTACCAAGCAATTTCAAATGTGTGTTCATCATGTTCAGACAGTAATTTATAGGCACACTTCAAACCTCAAGTTTTGCTTGCAGGCTCTATTGTAATCTTTACACATGATATAAACATAAATACAACAAGGACATATTTTGTTAGAGAACTCTTATGTTATCTGTCATGGTTATCCAATTTCAGATGCTTTTGGCAAGCAGTTTTATAGGTTGTCTTTTTAATATCACGAATAAAGAAAACAAAATATAGAAGCAACGAGACCAGTATAAATCCTTTCTAAGGCATCCTGAATTAGTAGACATGGCCTCAACAGTATAATTAATTCATATTTTCTTGCACAAGATCAATGGGATATTTGACCAAAAGAACAGGTCAAATTCAGCTGCAATATATACATTGCCAGTTACCAAATACAAATGTGCTATATTAAGATAACATTTCAAGTTCGAAACATCAAACAAGGGTACCACTTAGATGGCACAATTTTAGTGTTCTAAACACCAACCAAAAAGAACTTGACATGATAAAATTGTAACTAACCTGTAAGATGCACATGTATCCAACACCATTACCTGGGTGTGAGCATACGAAACACTGACAACTTAAGCTAATGCCTGTTTGAAAAATGCACAATATTTCAAAAATGAAATACTTACTATCTCTGTTGTTCAGTTCAAAACAATCCCTTATCAATAGACATCACCAAAAGAAACAAAAAGGCAAAAAGCATCAATTTGTAAGAGACATCGCAAATTTTGGGCATTTATAAGAATATCAAGAGAACCTAAATCTGTCCGTGAAGTTCACAGCATATGATCCAGAGTCTAAAGCATCAAACAGAAATATAAACTGGGTGAAAAAGAACATACTGTGCATCTTCTGATGCCAAGAAAAGTTCATCATTGTACTTCTTCGTTGGAAAGTTTGCAACAATTACAGGCTCAAGGCCATGTGATCCTCGTTCCAGCTGTAGCACAGATGTTGAGAACACTAGTCAAGCTTCTAATTTCAATACATTTAAAAATTTTTTGGAAAAACGATGTTTAAGTCTGGGAAATTTCATCATTTAGCATGTTCTAGATAGCTTTATATGGCAGTAAATAATAGAATTCCAAATTTGAAACCAAATACTATATGAAACTAATAACTGAAAATAAACGAAAAATTCTACTTGGTTTGCTCTAAAAATGTTCGTTTGGAAAGTTTTGCAAACAATTACAGGCTCAAGGCCATGTGATCCTCGTTCAAGCTGGTTAGCCAACAGATTGTTGAGAACACTAGTCAAGCTTCTAATTTCAACTACATTTAAAAATTTTTTTGGAAAAAAACGATGTCTTAAGTCTGGGAATGAAAATTTTCATCATTTAGCATGTTTCTAGATTAGCTTTATATGGCAGGTAAATAATAGGAATTTCCCAAATTGGAAACCAAAATTACTATTATGAAACTAATTACTGAAAATAAACGGAAAAATTCCTACTTTGGTTTGCCTCTTAAAAATGTAACAGGAATATTATTAATTGCTTGGCAATTAGACTTCTATCTTGCTGTTTGTTTTACAATAATTTTTATATTTTTGAAACAATAGGAATTTAATCTAGGAATCTAAATTTTAGGGAAAAAAAATAAGAAAATAAATTGTTTAAAAAAATTACTAAATTTATACTTTATTCTGGGGAAATAATTAAGGATGGGAATCTTGAGCTGATGGATGTCGTATTTTTCCTTCCTATTTCAATTTCCCCAAAGCTGTTTAGAGAGGAATAAAAATTAAAGAAGCATAAAGATGTCTATTTTCCTTCCTATTTCATTTCCAAAGCTGTTAGAGAGAATAAAATAAGAAGCATAATGACTTCAGAAAAAAAAAATCAATTAAAAGAAGTACCACAATAACTTTAGAAGCAAAATCCAAGCCCAGTCTACCCAAATAATTACTCAATTCAGAATTCCACCCAAATAAACAGAAAATCGAAAATCCTAAGAACCCAATTTCAATTACCATACATAGACCTGTAAAGTGTAAGTTATGGCATACAAAAACAGTTACTTGAATATGTAAGCCACACAAACCCAGAAGAAAGAAAGGACAAAAATTTAAAATTTAAAAGAAAAAAAAACAGAAAAGAGAGAAAAGCAAAATGAATTAAGCATTGAATGGGAACGAAAGGCTTACAATGCTAAGATCAGATCTGGAAGTAATAGGAAATGAGCGTCTTGATGCGTTTAACTGAATCCGAGCGCAAATTAAACGGTTGCACACAAATACTATAAACATAGTACTAACAGCAAATCCTATAACAGTCATCACCAAATTTATCCCTGACCCTATCATTTTTCTCCTCTATATGTTTCCACTTCAAGTAACTAAACAGCAAATCCAGTAAACAGTCATTCACCGAAATTATCTGACCGCTATCATTTCGTTCTCTCTCTATATTAGGTATGAGTTCCCACCACCAAACTGCATACTATAAACTATACAAACAGCAGAAACATAAGAAGACCCCACAATTCAAGGAACTTGTCCAGTCTATAAGTCAATTTTTTTCAACTATACAATTACCAGGCCTATTAGAAAGCTTAAACAAAAACAGAAAACCGTCATTCGAACATAAAAGACCCCACAAATTCAAGAACTCTGTCCAGTCCTATAAGTCAATTTTTATCAACTTATACAATTACCAGGACTATAAAAAGCTTAAAACAAACAAAAATCCGTCATTCTCAAATGGGTTTTGAAGAAAAGAATATAAACAGCATTTGCATGTGCAAATTAGGTGTTTAGGTGTTTCATTTTTTAAGAAACCCATAAAGAAAACAATGCAAGAAAGAGGAAGAAAATTGTGATGTAGAGATTGAAGCTAGTGGTGATCATGGGGACGATTAGGAAAGCAGTAGCAGAGGCAAAGAGTGAAAGAAGAAGAGTAAGAGCTCATTTTGTTTGGACAGAGGAGAGAGAAACAAATGAGGAAATCTAGGGAAGGGACGGAGTGATTAAGATGCGAGATTTAAGGGTGATTAAAGGGAGTTAAATGCAGTGTTTTTGTGTTATGAACTTTTGACTATATAGACTACGAGGGATCCAAATGGGCTGTGTTTTATAAAACTTTTTTTTTTTTTATTTTAACATCCAACATTATTTTTTAATGCAAGGATTTGGTATTTAGTAGTCAATAACTAAATATATTAGCAATCAAATAATTAAATATTTGAATTATAAACTTTACAATTTTTAAGAGTTTTTTTATTATTATTTTTAATTCATTTGAGGTCTTTATGGGCCGAAATTGAATCACAAAATAGATAAAAAACTGTAGTCGAGAGAACTTAAATTCGAAATCTCCTATTCTCCACAGAAGTGAAAAGCCAACCAAACTAGCACCTGGGCCAAAAGAATATAATAGACTAAACAATAAAATAATTCTCCTTTGCTCACTAAATTACAAAAAACTCTTGTGACAGAGAAGTCTCGAATCTGAAATCTCAGAGTTCTCATATCAATTAGACCAACATTAATTAAGAGTTTTTTTTTTTAATTTGTGCATGCGTTTTCAGGCTTAGAATTGAGATAGTATTTATTTAAAATTCTTCCGATGATGTACATTTTTACATTATTATTTGAATTATTTTTAAGAGTTAAGTATTGAATTTTAAATTATTGTTCTAACATTTATATTTACTATATTTAATTAAAAATATTTATTTATAGACTAAATGTTAAATACTGACTAAAACAATTTATAATCACTTTGGCAATCATACTTAAATTACTAGGCAATTTCTCTTTTAAATTTTAGAAGGATTTAAAATTTTTATATTAATCTTTTTCCTTTTTGATTTATTGGAAGATAAATTATAGAAATATTATTCTAAGCTACATTACGAATAATCTCTCTTTAAACGATGAGTCAACTTTAATTTTTCAAATTTTCGATTCAATTTGATTAATCAATTTTATAATTTTCAATTACTTTAATTTTAATTTTTTATACAAAAAATTTGATTTCACCCAACTGAATTGAAATTGCTAAAACTATGTTACTTGGCAGAGAAAAAACTATGTTACTTGGCAGAGAAAGAGAGATGCAAAACTAACTAACTAATATATTATTTAAGATAAGTTACTTCGGTTATCAAATTAACTAAATCAAACAGAATCAAATCAAAATATTTCAATTTAATCTCCTATTAATTATATTTTAGTTTAATTTTTATAAAAAATAAAAGTCTAATTTTCTATTTCATCAGTTTAATTGAAATTAAACTAAAAAAAAAATTGAACCTAAATACATTGTTGGGTCATAAAAACACTTACGACTGAGATTTTAACTATTTCACATTTCAATTAAGTGTTAAAATTTTTATATTTTTTTATTAGTATTCTTAATAAATAAAGGAAAACCAAAGTCATTATTAACACAATAAGCATCATTTCGTTAGGATAAGATCACAAACCATCATTAGAAAAGGAAAGTACGAGGACTTTTCTTGGTGGTTGAAGATACGAAAAGTTTTTTGACAATAGCATTTTAAACTTTTCATCTCACTTTCAAAGCAAAAAATTAAGATACGTAACTATCTTAAGTAGATTTTCAACACATTTGGGTACTTAAAATTAAAATTTCCAATACCTAATAATTAAATTTATTTGAAGTGACAATTGATAAATGACAATTTTTAATACATATATTATTCAACATTAGAAAAAAAAAAAAGTATTTAGTTTTATTTTGTGGTACTAAACACCACTTTGATATAAATAAAAAGAAATATATATTAAAAACCATACCATAGATTATTTGAAGCATTGTTTTCTGTTGTATTGCACTTAAAATAGTTATTTGCAACTATAGGAACGAAAAAAAAAAGTATGTAGTTTTATTATTTTGTGGTTACTAATAACAACCACTTTGATATAAAATCAAATAGGAAAGAAATATTCATACTTAGCGGTAAAGCGCGAGAATGCCGCATAATAGTATAGCACGCATTGGAACGGGAGGATTATGTGCATGAAATGACGCAGTGTCTGTTGATAATCGGATCTAGACGAGCTGTTCAGATCCGAAATATGCGGTGCATATGCACTTAAAGCCCTGGTGTGTAGAGAGGAGGAACATAGCTAGGTTCTATAGTGTTTAGCATAAGTTTTAGTCAGATGATAGAATTTTGGAGATAGGAATTAGAGTATTAAATTTAGACAAATATGCATATTATTTTTATTAAAAAAAAAAAAAAAATAAAAAAGAAAAAAAAAAAGAGGGGTCAATTGGCCCCGTCTGTTTTCATAATCGTGCTAGCAGCCAGGACCACGCGAGCCTGCACAAGTATGTTAAAAAAAAAAAAAAAAAAAAAAAAAGAGGGGTCAATTGGCCCCTCTTTTTATATGCTGCACCGACCACCGCCTGCAAATGTGTTTGCCTATAAACTTCAGGCTCCATATATTCATGCTTGGGCGTGAGGTCTATTATTATTGGAATTTTGTTGAACTTTCATAAAATATATAGAACATGAGATTTTATTTGAAATAACTTCTCAAAATAAAACATAATCTAATAACAATAATTATACAAGTACCCGCAGAATATTCATGTGAAGTTGATGACTTGCTGTAATTAAGATTCTAATGCTTTCCACAATTTTTAGGATCTGTTACAGGAAGATAAGTGCATGGGTTGGGCGCAGAATTTTGTGGTGTTGCTTTGTCTGGAACGGCCACCACCTTCTTCTCATTAGCAGCAAGTGTTTGCTTATTACTGTGATGCAGAGTTCTCCCAGTTACCATCTGATTAGAGTTGAAGATAAAAATGAGGAGCAAGATCAAGATTGACATTTTAATGGCATTGAGGGTGAGCAGTTTTGTAGTTGATGAACGCATTGTTGCTTCTCGATAGTTAAGAGCAGAAGAAAACAAGGGAAGGGTTTGTGATGAGAATATGGGGTGATTGTATCGGCTATATACAGAGAAATTTTGTCTTTTTATTACATTTCTTTTACTTGTGGGCTAATTAATGCTTTGTTCCATAAGTTCGGCGGTTGGACTTGGTCATATAAAATTATTCATGCTTTGTTCCAACCTTTTGTTTTCTTTTTAATTCTGGCTGAAATTTAAATATCATGATTTGTTTTTTTTTTTTTTTTTTTTTTTTTTTATTTTTTTTTTTTTTTTTTTTTTTTTTTTATCAAAAAAGAAGAAGAAAGAGACCCCACTTATTATAATGACCAAACGAGTGTGTTGGCTATCTAGTGACATAAATTTTACTGCAATTGAAGCAAATTAACTGATTTTTTTTTTTTTTTGATGTTCTCCTCCATCAAAAAATTAAAAATAAATAAATAAAATGAGAAAAGAGTAATTGCATATCAAAAAGTGGAATTTCATATTTCCATATCATGTAATTTTTTAAAATTGCTTATTTATTAGTAAATGGTAGAGAGTTTAATCACGATTCACAAAGTGTCCAGCTCAGGTCTTAATCAATGAAGTGATTTTGAAATGATTGATGGTCGTTTTTTAATTGCTTATTTATTAGGACTAATTAATTAATTAAAATCCTTTTTTTTTTTTAAATTATTAAGATACATAGTTTTTACTAAAATAAATTTATTTTACTGTAGAAAATTAATAAAAAAAGAACACATCTCATTCAAAGAAAACTAAGAATGAGGTGTCCAGCTGAGGTCGTAATTACTGAAGTGATTTTGAAATGATTGACGATCGTTACTTTTAACAAATAAGAAAATGGCAATTTGTGTAAATAAATCATTGAAATTAAGCAGTTATTATTTAAAATAATAAATAAAAAAATAAAAAAGATTAAAAAACATAGTTTGAATTCTTGGTTGGGCCAAAAACTTACAAATATGATTGGTGGGGTCGCATCACAATACGTCACCGTCAAGGCCACGTTAGATTTACCCTAATCAGAATATTTCTGTTGAACTTCTTAATATCATTTGTCATTCAAATTAATTTCTGGATAGTGATTGTTTTTCCTTCGGATTGCATTCACAAAGATGTAGGCTTGGCCACGGTTCCGGAACCGGCGGTTCCGGTTCCAGAAAAACTGGAAAACCGGAACCGAACCGAAAAGGCTCCGGTTCCGTTTCCGGTTACGGAACCCCGACGGTTCCGATCGGTTTTCGGCGAATCGCATAATTTAATTTAAATTTTGAAGACCGGTTTAAAAAAAATTTAATAAATTTGGTGAATGTTATTGTAAAAAAAATACACCTTAAAAATTAAAAATAACTTCAATAATTATTTCTTTTAAAAGACTTGAACCATAATTATTTTAAAAAAAAAAAGTTCTTCAACTGAATTTATTTTTTGTTTAAAAAAAGTTTTAA